TCATATTAACAAAGCAAAGAACAAGAACCACATGATCCTATCAATTGATGCAGAAAAGGCCTTTGACAAAATCCAACACCCTTTCCTGATTAAAACACTCAACAAAATAGGACTAGAGGGAAATTTCTTCAATATAGTAAAAGGTATTTATGAAAACCCAAGAGCTAACATTGTTCTCAATGGAGAGAAGTTAAAGGCATTCCCTTTAAGAACAGGATCTAGGCAAGGATGCCCATTATCTCCTCTCTTATTTAATACTGTATTGGAAATCTTAGCGATAGTAATAAGACAAGAGAAAGACATAAGAGGTACACAAATTGGCAAAGAGGAGGTAAAATTATCCCTCTATGCAGATGACATGATAGTATACTTAGAAAACCCTAAAGACTCAGCAAGAAAACTATTGGACACAGTGGACCAATTTAGCAAAGTGGCAGGATACAAGATCAACATACAAAAATCAGTTGGATTTCTCTACAGTGATAAAGAGAATACAGAGCTGGAGCTAAGAAAAACAATACTCTCCACAATAGCTAATCACAAGATAAAATATTTGGGAGTAAATATAACTAGAAGCACAAAAGATCTAGTCAAAGAAAATTACAAAACATTACTATAAGAAACAAAAAGAGACCTGGAGAAGTGGAAGAATATCCCTTGCTCATGGATAGGAAGACTCAACATTGTGAAAATGGCAATACTACCAAAGGTAATTTACATGTTCAATGCAATCGCAATACAAATACCAATTCCATTCTTCAATGAGATGGAAAAGGCAACCTCCAGCTTCATTTGGAATGGAAAGAAGCTCTGAAGAAGCAAAGCACTCCTTAAAAATAGAAAAAAGGTAGGAGGCATCTCACTCCTTGATTTCAAATCCTACTACACTGCCGTGGTAGTTAAGACAGCATGGTACTGGTACAATGACAGACACATAGATCAATGGAATAGAATTGAGAACTCAGAAATAAGCCCATCTATTTATGGTCAACTGATTTTTGACAAGGAGATAAAAATCAGGTGGGGAAATGACAGCCTTTTTAACAAATGGTGTTGGCAAAATTAGAAAACTATCTGCAGAAGAATTAAACAAGATCCCCACCTCACTCCATACACAAAAACCAACTCAAGGTGGATCATGGACCTAGGACTAAAACCAAGGACTATAAACTTCATTAAAGAAAAGCCTGGAAGAACATTACTAGTCCTAATACACAACATAAAGAGTCTTCCAAGTATTCTGAAAAATTTACAACCAGGAGAAGATAAAATAGATGAATGGGACCTTCTAAGATTCAAATCCCTATGCGCATACAGAAACTTCTCCAACAGGGTAAAAAGGGAAGCCACAGACTGGGAAAAAGTGTGTGGTAATGACATGTCAGATAAGGGGCTTATATCCAGAATTTATAAAATACTTGAGCATCACAACAAGATAAAGGTAAATAATCCAACAAAAAAAATGGGCACAGGATATGAACAGACACTTCACCAAAGAAGACATTTAGACGGCCAACAAGCACATGAAGAAATGTTCAAAATCCCTACCTCTGAGAGAGATGCAAATCAAGACAACTATGAGATATCATCTCACCCCAGTAAGACTAGCAAAATTTAACAGAATAGCAAGCAACAAATGCTGGCGAGGTTGTGGAGAGACTGGAACCCTT